GGGGATTTAGTAAGCCTGAACAGTTGCAGAACTGAGAGTTGATACTTGTAGAATTACATATTTAATATTTAGTTTTCTTCAATACTTGGAGGTTTTTTAGGTCATCTATTTCTGAAACCCTTTAGTGAGTAGGTCAGCACTGTCAGGAATCTGATTTTGACTGTGCTACTGTTTATCAGTGATTTTCACACCTGCAGCTTCCACAGTCCTGACCTCCCAAACAGTTCGTGCAGAAGCTGTTCATTAATGTGAGTCAACAGATTGGTATTGGTTAAAATATATTCATAATTTGAGGTTACCGAACTGTGTCTCTAACAACAAGTAGCATTAAGAGGGAGAAGATTTTTCATCTCAGACATCCTGTGTGCTATTCCTTGTTGTTGTTTTTGTGAGGTTTTTTTTTTGTGTGCTAAGTTTACACCTTTCAGATTTCTTTGACATTGATCAGTACTGACCTTAATGAGTTCTCTTAAGAAATAATAATGAAAGTATTTATTTAGGTGTGGTGCTGTTCTACCCCGAGCTCCTCAGTTTGATAGCTGCTTTCTTATCTAAACTGATTCCATCTGCATTTTAGTGGTTGTGAGAAACATCCCTTCCTGATGTAGTGGCTCTGAGTTTTGTGGGGGTTATTTTTGTTTGTTTGTTTTTCTTTTGGGTTCTTCCCTTAAACTGTTCTGTGCCTTGTGTGCCCCTGGCAAATCAGTGACAATCTGCCTCTTAGTCAGTGTGTTGGATACAGATGCATAATGCTGTTATTAAATCCCTTTCCTCAGTCAAGAGGATTGATAACAATGTGATAAGACAAACATATTTCTGTTACTATTTTCAACCTATTTAACTTAATTTTTTTTTAATTGCCTCAGCATTCACAAAGAAAGCAAGGTTTAAAAAACAGTATCCAGCATCTCCAAGACCCCAGCTGCCACCTGCTTCATACACTTATTCATGCTTTTCCTTTTTCAGACCTATTCTACTCTTTGTTCTCTGTGACTAGATATGAAGTACGCTGTTTTATTCTGTTTCATTCTGGAGATAAGTAGAAGAAATTAGGAAAAAAATCCATGCCTGTCTTGATTGTGGCATTTTAAGAGTGTTTTTCTTTTCTGTTTTGGGGGAATTTTATTAAAATTTTTAAGATAGAATGTTTACAACTCATTGAGCATCATCTTGGTACTTAGAAACGAATAATAAGTCTAACATAAAATAATTACTTTTCCTAAAAATGTTTGTTTTATTACCTACCCCTACTTCATTTCATGCATGGGGGAATACTACTGAACTCCATAATGCACATCACAATTTGTTCCTAAATAGTCATATCTTTCAAACAGATTAGCATGAAACAATTTGAGGAGTAAGTACCTAATTCAGATGGATAAAACAACTCATTCCTTAGCAGTTTCCCAGTTTTAGGGTAAGAGGATTTACTGTTGCATATCTAAACCAAGTAGACAAGTGCTCTTTTTCGGCACCTGTTAAAAGAATGAGCTCTCTTTTGTTTTCGAACAAAATTATCCTACCATAGGAAAGCAGTTGATCCAATATGGGTAGTTGAGGGCAGGGTATTTTGCTTTTTAAAAAGCTGGTGTGTGTAAAATGAGGATTATGTCATGTTGTAAGCATTTCTTAAAGAAAAAAAAAGACAAAAGAAATAATAGAAAATGTAATCTTCATTCGTTTTTAAAGGTATTGGGAATGTTGCAACTAAAACAGACCTTCATGCAACATAAATGGTCTGTCAATTACTGTGGGGATTATTGAGAAGGTAGAAGTCTTTGAATTCAATACAATTCTTCACCATTATTTTGAAAATGTATTTTTTCAATACTGTTTTTTGTCAGAAGTAAGGTGTCCAATTAGTTGGGTCCCAGTCTATTATAAACAAAACCAAAACCAACTACTCTGAGTTAGTGTTGCTGTACTGTATTTGATATGTTCTTATTAAGTAGTGCAAACTGTTTTGCTTTCTATTAATAATTTTACTAAGATATTCCAGCACAGAAGAAGGGAAGGGGCAGGGATAATTTTTAAAACTCTTTTCGTAATTTAATGCGTACCTCTTAGTTTCTGGATTGTATTGCCAAAATGTTATGACCTTGTTCAAAACTCTTCCAGTGGGTTATTGTCTTCACTCGTTGGGATGAGCCATGCATAGTTTTACTACAGAGAATATTTTATTCCTTTTTTTTTTTTGGTCATTTTAGCTGAAGTTAAATCCGAGATTCACTATGGAAACTTCCAGCTGCTGACTACACATGATGTTGCCAGAATGTGATAACCTACTTTGGTAGACATGTGCAGTTTTTACCCACAGTTCCCCAAAAGATAAAATTAAAAGTCAAAGAAGAGAACCACTTCAGACTTACAGTGAAATAGAAGTGTGCAAGTACCCCTAAAGTTGGACAGTTACAGGATGTTTAAGTCATGCTTATTTTCAGGCAAATGCAGAAGAAAGACTTCTTATATACTGAGCTTTGACATATCTATCCTTCATGTGGAAGATGTGTGATAAAAGCACATGTAACTCTGTTATATTACACCCAACTTCTCATTCATTATGTAATGACTTCTTCCATGTACTCTCAATGTATGAATGTATTTATTAGCTTTGGCATTGGGGCTTACTTTTAACATTTGGAGCACAGAACATAGTTTGCAGAGTGTTTGGGGCAGCAGGGATTCAAGTTTGGTTCTCACATAATTAAAAAATGAACAGTGCTTTTGCAGGGCCTCTTATTCTGCCTCTCTCTTGTTGAGCTCATATGTTGCCTGGGAAAGACCAGTGAGCAGCTCTTGAAGATGCAGTTTGCATCCATAAATTAACTAAGAACATCCAAGGGCAGTTGCTAAATGCATTAATTATTGTGCACACATGTAGTTTTGTTGTTTACAGAGCAGTGGATAGCACCCTGGAGAAGCTAGTGGTGTGCAGAGGAGCAGCACATGAATGTAGATGGGCAGGGATCTCATTTTCACATGGGCATACTGGAGAAGCAAATGGCTTGATACTTCATTATGTTATATATCTGTGTATTGATTTTGCCTCATGAAAATTCAATGCAGTTTCTCTCATACGAATGATGAAAGCTCTGATTTTTTGCTTTGGGAGGGTAAGTGGCAAAGGCAATGGGTCCAAAGGACTTAGACAGAAGTATCCCTAGAATTCCTAGATGTAACTTCCCATAACCTCTCAAACCATAAGACTTTTGAGACACTTAATAATTGTTGCACTGAAGTGTATCTATTGACACATATGTAGGTACAAATTAAGATAAAGATAAGGTCCACAATTGTATGAAGTTAAGGAAGTACCCTGGTTAATACCCTTTCTTCATCTGAGGTTAACTCTATAACTGGAGGCTGGAGATTAGGTAAAACATAAAATACCTTCTACTAGTATAAAATCTTCACGTGATTTTATCTTACTTTTCAAATGCTGTAGTCATACAGGAAAAATATATATTGGATCTCAGCTTGTATTCACCCTTTGAATTTTCTTATTAAACAGTTTTCAAGTTCTTTAGATATCAAAACCCTCATATATTTTAGAAGAAACAAGCTTTTCTGTTCTTAAATTTCTGTATTTGGTGTTAAGTTTGATATTTGCTGTTCAAAAGTGTCTTATAACTTGGGCTGACCTTTCCAAATACTTGGTTTATACAGGACTGATGACACATTACAGACTTGGAAACTTGTTATCTTAAAAATTTAGAAGAATACATTTAATAAGACAGGAACCTTGGCAAAATTTTTATATGCTTTCAACTTAAATGTTGAGATGCCAACTCAGACAAAACATTCAGATACAGTTTTATAAGGGTAAATACTTTCCTAAAATAGCCACGTTCAGGAATCTAGTGAAATTTCACACATCCCACATATCCAGAACAACTGTTGCTAGAATTTAAACAGTTTGTGTAGAGATACCCAAAATCAGAACTGTTGCCTTTGGCAATGAATCCATACTTAAGTTACCAAACTGTACTGAAAGAGAAACTTTTCCATCTTGTACTGCTCCTCCTATTTTAATTTTTAAACAGTCATGTAATATCCTTGTGTCTTCTTGTACTTACGTTTAATGTGAACACTGTGGAGGGATTTAGAGGTTCCAGAATGTCCTCAACAGTGTCCTGAGAGCTTCATAACACTCTAAAATAGTAATGTAGAAGACTGATTATCCTCCTACTTTGTCTTCACCAGAATTTATTGCTGTAAGTGTGTGTGAGAAACATGCCCTTGGTCATTCTTGAATTACATGTATTTTAAAAAATCCTTGAAAACACATCTTGAAATATTTTTCCATTACTACTAGTGCTTGACATTTAGTAATAACTTTACCATATTTTCTTGCAGTGTCCTAACTGAAGAGCTGAAGATCTCCATGCTCTAAACACTTTTAGTTGGAAGTGACTCTAAAGAATTTGAAAATATGTGTTAATAGAAAAGTTCATGCTTTTAATATTGCTATCTGAGTAATGCTTGGATAACTGATGGTATATAAGAAAATACTTCAGTAGTTGAGGAAGGCTGCTTGGGAATCATATGAGACCACATAAAACTGTGTATGTTTGGTGGAGTTTGTGTTATCTGTGTAATTTCATCAGTGACCAATATAATCACTCATTTTCTGAAATGCTTTACAAGACTGATTCCTTCGAAGAAAAAAAAACACAGGAGTGACTTAAACAATTTTAAATAAATTCCTGTAGCTAATGAGGGCAAATTCTCACCAGAATCAGCATCACTTATAACCACTAGAAAAAAAAAATAGAAGGGATTTTATCACAGCTGATAGATTGTGAGTGAAAACTGCATAAAATTATGTGTCAGACTACACTCTCAAGTTCTTTGCTATTACAGGTATTGCTGATGAGAAGCTGGGGTAAGGCAATTGCTCATGTGCTTGTACTTAAGCAGACAACTTTGTTTCTGTGCAAGGAGCACCCTCAGTAACGTGTGGTTGTAGGTATAACCTGAACTTTGTCTTCTCTTTGCAGGCAGAGCTGGTTGATGTGCAGTATGGTACCATGGAAGACCTGCTCCGGATTCAAGCCATTACAAACGTGACCAAAAAAATTGCACTTTTGAAGCTAGGACAATCACCTTTGCTTTATAAGGTTAGTCAGAACCTAGTTACACATTAGCTGAATTATTCACTTGTTTGGTTTTTTTTGTTGTTGGTTTTTTTTTTTTTCATTTCCAAAATATCGAAACAAAGACTTTCCCATTCTGTCCCAGTAAGTCAGGACTTACTGGCATTCACATTCTTCCTTAATACTCACCGCTTCGCTCTGCAGTGCCTTTTATGTGTTACAGTTATTTATGTTGCTGCATATCTTGCAGTGCCCCACTAGTCTGTCATATTTTTCCTGGGCGTACTGTGAACCTTTTGGCAAATAAAGAAATCCCTGAAAGAAATAATAAAGCATGAGGGAACAAGAAAAAGGCAACTAATATCAGGAATAGTTTGATCTGTGTCTCCTAAAAATGTACAGAGAACAGTGCACTGACATCTTTTGTTTCTGCATAATTGCACATAGTACTTGGTTTGATGGCTGTAGTTGTGTGTAGTTTGGCAGAGCACAGTCTATGCTCACCTGAACTCAGGCTTCTGTGCGTCTTTCCAGCCCTGCTGGGCTGTGTCCAACATCCAGCACTCGGATGTGATGCTGCCAGCACTCGGATTGCAAGGTAATCACCAGTAGCATACACTATGGGAGAACTGACACTAGTGTTTATGGATTTAAGAAAGGACACTGTAACTTGTTTTCATCATGGCATTTTGCAGCCTTGCTGTGTGCAGAATTTGCCTTTGCCACCGTGTTCTTCTTCCACTCCCTCCTTTCTCCTTCTTTGGTTGAGATTATGTGTTGGGAGGGCTGCACATGGGTACGTGTCTGTCCACCTTCTCCTCCAACTCAAGTACTGGCAGAAAGCACAGAGCAGGAGCTCACTAATCCATTTGCACATTAAATGTAATAGAGTCAACATATAAACCACATTTAAACTCTAAATGCCCAGTAACTGCCTTCTGTTGCAAATAATTTATAGGCAAAAATGCTGGTTTGACGTTCAGAAAATACACTGAACCAATAAATACTTAAACAATTAATTCCCAAATTAACAAATGCAATTATAAAAGAGCAGTGAGTCCAGATCTTGCCATTAAAAGGATCAGGATCTGCTCTGTTGGCCGTAGAAAGTACAGTCGGGACTATAACACAGGTTCAGAAAACAACCACTTACTATTTTTTCTATAGGAATAAGATTTGTCTCAATAAAAATGCCATTTTCAACTGAGTAGCTTTAACTGTTTATTTAAATTATTTAGATGTAATTTAATTATGCTCTTGAAAGGTCAGTTGTCATTGCTGGAACTTGGCTGTCGCGCATCGTTTCCACCAACAGATCTGATGCTGCATTTCACCACTTTCAAAAACAATGAAATAGCAATCAGGGCTCATAAAGTAGGGATTTGATAAAGATGTAATGTTTACTGTAACAGCACTGTCTCTGAGATGGGTTTTTTTACCCGTTTGTGTTCCTGTGAGGATGCACTATGTCTGAATTAGGAAAGCGTACAGCCTGAAGGAGGAGGGGAAAGCAAATGGTGCTGAGAACAAGGCACATCTCAGGAACTTTTTGTGTGGGTTGGCTGTAGCCTAGTCCCAAATATGTGCTATTTGGTGGCTGAGGTGCATTAGTTACATTTCTGGTGCTCAGCTGCTGCTCCAGAAGAATCCATTTTGCACATCCAGGGTCTGTTATACAGTATGAACCAAAGTGTGGTGTGATCAGGAGGCTGATTTCGAATGCACACTCAGGATCTCAGCTAAAAATACACTCCCCAAGCCTTCTTTCTGTGTTCCCCTCATGCAGGTAGGAAGTTTGCCCTTTTTTTGAGGCTGTAAACTGTCCTTTTTTAGAACATAAATTGTCTCTCTTTGGCAGTGAAATAATTGTAAGCTTTACTTTTCTCATAAGAGAAGATGTAGAAAGATTATCAGAAATAGATTCTCCTTTCATAAGGAATATTTGAAGTGAAAGATTGCCTTAAACAGCAAGTCCTGCTGGTTTAAACAGACCCAGTATCTCACCACTTAATCCACTTTTTGTATCTTTTTCCACCCTAATGTTTATGTTTCTGCACTTATTGAGTCTCACATTTCTGTTTCAGCAGACACTTTCCTCTCCCTATATTTTCCTTATCTCTGTCTTCCATGTGCTTGGTTTTACATCACATTAAAACAGAATACTAGTTCATAAGAGAGCTGTGGCTATATATACATATATATTTGCTACTTTTCTTTCTCATTTCTGTATTTAACTTGTATTTTTCATGTTTTAATGTTCTTTATTTTCTCATTATTATTACTTTATAATACACAAATATCTCACTCTGGATTTGAGTTTTATTTTTATAGACCCTGCACCAAGGTTTAATCTTCATAACAGGGTTTCTAATTATGTCTCTATTTTTCAGCTTGGATTTTCCCTTTTGTGAGTATACTTTTTCTCTCTTTCTCTCTCTCTCTTTTTACTGCCATCAACAACTGCTGTTCTTCTTGTGTTTTTTTCTATTTCCCCCTTTTGTGTATTTAATGTGCCTTTTTTTTTTTTTATATTTTGACTACTGTTTGTTCTCTCCATACTGAGTCCATTGAAAAAGGCCTGAAAGAAATAATAAACTGCTGCTGGCAGAAAAATCACCATGAAAACTGAACATTTCTTTAGTCTTTATATCACATTAACAGAAAGGATGTGCTGGTAGAAAAGAGCTTCATGTGCAAGGGGATAATTTATAGACATAAGCCCAAGTGATGGAAATTTGAATATTTGGAAAAATAATGGTATTAATGACAATGTTTTTGCAGTAGAGGTTTAGTATGTGGAGATTGGATAGGGTACAAAATTTGGGGAAGGATTAAGGTTGAAGATAATTTGGAGCTTCTACTTTGTCTTTCAGACTGGGCCCATCTCTCATATCTTCAGACACATTGAAAACAGCAGACAGAGTTCAGAGCTTGGAGTAATTTGAAATTGGAATATACAGGGAATTTGGAGTATGCAGAAAAGCCTGAATTCAATGTGCTGTTAGAATATGCAGTTTAGTCTTTAACATGAGTAATTCTGATTAAATTTTGTAAGGTTCATAAATTGAAGCTGCTTTGTGAGAACAAGATTTTCAGGAATCTGACCTGGGGTAATTTTTGTAATTGGATATGATTTTCAGATTTCATTGGGAGTGTTGTATTTCTGTTCCACTGAAACAGAACTTAGTGTCTGTTCAGGGCAAGAGGGGCGGGAATGACGGCCATGGGCACATGTCCAGAGGATTGGCAGAGCCAGTCTCAATCCCTTAAACCAGATCTTTGCAAACAAACAATATGTTACTACAGCCACATCATAAGTTACAGCTATAAAGAGAAATAACATGAATCCTTCCTTGATAGCAGGGTATCAACAAGAGCATTGACTCTATGGTGGGAAAAAGAACCCACAAAAAACCAAAACAACAACCAAATAGTTTACATTGATGTGATAAAAAGAATAGATAAAAAAGGGATATGTATTTATATATATAAATCAGACTGGAGCAGAGGTTTGGGAAAGGGGTTTTACCATTCGTAGGGCACCGCTAAGGTCAATTAGGGAGCAAGACTCTTTTATAAAATTAATATAAAAAGTGAAGAAAAAAATGGTAGAAATGCTTCAAGGGCTGGAGCATTTTTAGTATGGCAAAGGCAGAATCATTTTCAAATGCAACCAAAATATTTAGGAATTTGCTGCTCCCAGCACCTGGAGTGACAGTTTCCTATTGCAACATGAATTGAGCCAGCGGACTGAGCAGGGAAGCACAGAGGGAGTCCTCATTTGACATGTTAACTTGGCATAACCATGGTCTGGTCATTTTGGACTCATTAGCCCAAATAATTCACAGTGCTGAAAAACTGACAGAAGGAAAAAATGTAAACTCTTGTGACAACTCCCAAAGGGATCTTGTGGCTTAGTCTGAGACAACGTGTAAGAGCTGGATTGTTTCTGAATTAAGAGGGAGCTGCATTAAGGAAGAGGAAAAACTTTCTTAAGGAGGGAGCTGAAATGAGACAAATGTAGAACAGAAGCAAAGCACAACTTCTGGAGTGAAGTGCCATAAAAAGAAGTAGAGTCCTTGCTTTTCACACCTTGAGATTGAAAGTGACCTGTTCCTGGTGTTCTGGCTAGAAGGAAAATTCATGTGTCAGTGGAACTCAGGTTGTTGGGATCACTGGTGAGGTTGCACAGTCACAGGAGGTCAGGGCAGACCACTGATGTCCTTGAACGAGGAGAATCTATAAACGTGGGGAAAGATGATGAAGTTTGTTACTACTGATTAAGCAAATCACTCATGTGATGTAGAAAACCTTCTTGAGAAAGAGCACCTTGAGTTGCCCACGGTGTTTGTAGAGAACATATTCTAATAGTATAGAAAATGTGTGGTGACAGAAAGATTGAGAAAACCACCTCACTAGCACCCAGCTCCTCTGCTCTAAAGCTGCTCTGTGTCACCACTGTGAGCACATAGAAGAAACCAGAGGAGGCTTTTTAAGAGAGAACTGCACAGTGGTTTCAATATCCAGCCTCTGGAAATACCATTAACAGATTTATTTTTTGAAAAATGTTGTGAGTCTTGATCATGATTTAATCTTTAGGGGTTGCAATTCATGAAAAAGCCATAATTTTTGTCCTAAATTAACTTTTAATAGAGTAACAAAAACCCTGAAGGCCAAACCACTTCATCTTTAATATGTTCACATATTAACATTTTTTCCACATCCATTAAATGAAGATGTTGTTCTACCATGTAAATATCTATATTTATTTTAATAATTTACTGCCTGCATAAATATTCATAAAATTGCTTTTTAACTGTCATAAAGTTTAGGAATGTGGATGCTTGGATGTTTATGCAGAGGTTATTGGCAGGCTCTTGCGGATAAGGATTTGCTAAATGGAAAATATTAAAGATTCCCAGAATAAAGGCAATTTGCAAAAAGGCTTCAATTTAATAACTGTGTTAGTTTTAAATAAGTTTACTTTGGAAAAAGTAATTTCATTTTTCTACTGTCTACATTGT